GGCGGCCCGCGGGCCCCCCCCCCCCTGCGGGTGGCGGGGGCGGGCCGCCAAGGCCTCTCCCTTTGGGCCAGAGGTGCGTCTTCCCCCTCCGCCTCGCATTTCTGCGTCCAAGACCAGACCCAGCCCGGGGTGAGTCGCTGACCTGGTGCAGAGAGATCCCTCCTGCTGTCTCCTGGGCCGTATCCATGAGTGAAAAGTGACCTGTTGTAACTGGCACGAGCAAGCATCTGGGTGAGCCGTGTAGTTCGCAGGGAAGGTACCCACCAGATTCTTACTGGGCGCCTGGGTTTGAAAGAAAAGGTTTGAAAAGAGCTGAAAGTCCGGTAAGGAGGTCTCAAGTTCACAGCAGGAAAGAAGCATGAGAAAAGCCTCCATGCTTGACCTTGATTACCATGCGCCTCAAAATTCAGTAGAGGAGCTGGCGTAAGTGTCTCATGTCTGGCTGTTAAACAGCTTACTGTTAACTTGCAAAAACTAATGTGTAATCTCAAAAAAGAACACATGGAAGCGTGTGGTGCACCAAATACAGAAAACCTGTGGTGTCCAGTGCTCCCATTTACTTTACTTTTCATTCATTGCCACATAGTGAATAGGCATGGTGCATATTCCTCCTGCATTTGTGTTTTAAACGTCATTTTATAAGATCTCTGTTCATAATACATACAACTAATAGCTTTGTTTTGACGGGTGGAAGACTAGTTACACATTAGAAAGCCTTTTGGCAGAGAAGTTGCAAAAACAAATGTACAAGGAGGGGAGAGATAAAATTGACTGTTGATTAACTGTTCTGAAGGGAGAGATACTGTGGTTTCACAGTAGTCTGTACTGCTACTGTACTAAGAGGTGCTACCTTGTCTCACATACAAAAAAACCCAGCTTTTTAAAATTTGGATAAATTCCCTGATCTGGCTTGCTACTTGGCTGGCTGTAGGTGGGGCAGTAGAGAGGAGGATCAGATGAGATGGAGGAGAATGGGGCTGCCTATCGCAGTGTTCTGATTTGTGCTGGCTTAAAGTGGTTGTGAAAATGCAGCGTGGCGTAGTAGCAGGTGGGAGCCATTGACAAAAACCTGCTTCTATAATATTTAAACTACAGCAAAGTAGAACATGTCAAAATAGACCGAACATGGAAATAAACATTAAGTTTCATTGTTCATGAACACAAACACTGATGTTGTCTGCTGACATTGGCTTTAGAAATTTGTTAAGGAGCTTTACTCAGTAGACATTTTTTCAAGACTTTGTCTTGCATATGCTATAGAACTTTTGAAAAGTCAGGTTTTGACACTGTCATTTCAGGGGTACAGTTTCTCATTGAAAAACAGGGTGTACATATAAGGGTATATTGGACAAATAACAAAGATTTAAAGCTGTCAGTGGAAGGAAACTTGCTTTGCTTTTTGTATTACTACTGTTTATGTATATGACCCTTTAAGAGCATTGAAAGAAGAGTGAACAAGTTGGGGTTTACTTAGACTCCCAAACAGGCACCAAGTTATATTGTGATTGGAGCTGTAAACAAGAGATGGACAAAGGTGCAATTGTCTTTTTGTAACTGTCAGTGATTTTTTTTCTCCAGGAAAGAAACCCAGTCTCCTTCCTTGGGGAAAGATAGAGCAGATACAGTGATCATCGGAGGTGGTTGCGTTGGTGTGAGTCTAGCCTATCACTTGGCTAAGGCTGGCTTGAAGGATGTTGTTCTGCTAGAAAAATCTGAGCTCACTGCAGGATCTACTTGGCATGCAGTAAGAAATGTTTCGTTAATCTCTCAGATTAACAGCTGTTTGTGTATCTAACAGTGGTGGAAGTTTCATTACCTTTATATTCCCTGGCTTTGAAGAGATTAACTATCATCTGTGTTATTTTATAGATACAAACTTCAGCACTGAGTTCTTTATAGATTTGCTGTATGAGTTTTGAAAAGTTGGTTCAGCTATCCATAGTACAATTTTCTCATTTGTAAAAATTGGGACAAATACTCTATTTTGAAATTACTGGAAGGTAACTGTTCGTATTATTACACATTTTTGTCAGTTAACTGGATTTAGCCTTTAAACTTTAGTTTAACTTAGACTTTTTAAATTTAAGTTTTTATTTCAAAGGTAGTCTAATTTATACTGCAGACTTTATCATTGGAAGTGGTTGCACTGTCATGCATAAACCAGAAATGTGAAATTTGTCATTACTGTATGTGTAATTATTTTTTATAAGTGTGCCATCCTGAAAAAGAAGTAATCAAGAAGCAGCAGCAGTGTCCAGTTCTCAGAGAATATCACTGTCCCAGAAACTGATTCTTATTAGAGGCAAGAGCTTTCTTTCCCAGCACCACTGACATTACACAAAATCTTGGAGGAGCAAAGCTAGCAACTGTACACTGTGGGGTTTTTTAAGGCTTAAATGTTTGGCTGTACTCTAAGGAAAAGAATTAAAAAGACATACATGTAATAATGACAGGGCGGGGAGACCTCCTATAATAATGCTAATCACATGGACATATGGGTGCACAACATTTATGTATGTAATTACATATTTTCTATGTCAATGTCTGGAGTAGGTAGTGTAATGAAATGAAATAAAGCTTGCCACAAGAACAGATGCTTTTTCCATTCATTTCCAGCTATGCTCAGCTGAAATTGGGAGAGTGTTATCCCTATGAGTAGCAATACAAAAGAGTAGAAAACCAAGTTTGCTGTTTCTAGAACTCCTCTATTAATACAGTAGAGCATTTATGCAATACTTATAACTATAGTATCTGAGTGCCTTTCAGGCACAAATTGAGAAGGATGACTCAGATGGGTTATATTTGATTTGTATTCTCATACTTCTCCCAGGGGAGGAAGTCTGAAGTTTGAAACACTTCATCTTAGTGCAGATGTTTTGTGTGTATGGAGCCTTATGAGAGAACAATAGTAAAAAATGAAATTAAAAAAGATCACTGCCTGAAATGTAAAAGTAGGCTTATACTTCGTTTTACTTGCTTTTCAACAAACAAAGCAAAAGAAAACACTGTATGGAGTTAGGAAAAACAAAATTCAGTAATTATGTCTTTTAGAAAGAATGATACCACAGGTGATGCAGCTCAGCGAACAGAGCAGCACCATGTATAGTGTCAAATCATGCATCTTGTGTATCGAATCGTAACTACAAAATGCTCAAAGAAATACTGTGACTAAAGTATATGAGTGAGGCACAGACTGAATTCTGTTTACCCAATGCATATGCAGAACAATAAGTGTGTAAGAAATAACAAAAATCCCCTCATCGAATAAGAAACCAAAATCATGAAGGGGGGGTTGTTACTAAATGTTTCCTTCGTTCTTGTTGTTATACTCGCTCACTCTAGCTTATTGCTCATAACTATGTAAAAGCAACCTCTCCTTCAGTATTTTTGCCCCTGCTTCTTAGTGAATGCAGTGATGGAGCACTGCGTGAGGAACTCTGTTTCAAAAGTAGGGAGAGACCTGGAACACAGCAGAGAAAATGCCTGCACTGGGCTATTGAGAGGGCTGCTTTGTGGCACCTGCTGCCACAGAACTTGATACAGTTAACACAGCAAGGCACCTCTTTACGGGACAGGTTAAAAATGGATAACTATTAGGTAAATGTATACTGTCTCTTTTCTCTTTTCATTGAACTCAGAGTGCTGTGTCTGAAGATGAAAAAGTTGATGTTGTTTCAGATGAGGAGAAAGATCAAAACTGTGACTGTGAGTTCTTCGTTATGCCCTGTACTGTGCATTTATCAGTGGTTTCCTCACAGTGATACAATACTAGATGCAGATGAAAATTACACATGTAGTTAGCACGTGAAGTGGCACATCACTTATTGCCTGCAGCCCCAAATGTTGAAAGTCTGGGTCAGGTGTTGCTGTACTATACCACTTTTTCCCTCTTTCACAGTCCAGTAGGTCCTGCCAGAGCTCAGGATCATGTTTCATAGAGATCATATTCCTGCTAGTGTTGCTGCTAAAACTTCCTTCCACTTCTCAGGTCTGAGATAAATTTGGCTGACTTTCATTTTATTTAAATTAAAACAGCACAGAAAGTGTGCGCGTATTTATATTATCACTAATAGGAAGATATAAATAACAGAGCAAGTGCTGCTCATTTTTATACCTATCTAAGCATGACAAGTAATCGTTATTATATGTGTGTAAATTAGGTCAGGACTTAGGCTTTAAGAACTCTTGAAGCTGTACTATTTGCAGGTCAGATCATTTGCAATCTCACTGAAGCCCTAGGGACTGAACAAGAGATATGTAACTCACTCAGCAAATACATTTTTTTGTGTTGTTACTTTTTTAAAAGGTGTTTTCTAAGAAGATGTTCAAGGTATCATTCTGTTATGTGATACTTTTTCTTGCAACATCCAATTGATTTTACTGCTGATAGTTAATAAAGCACAGCACAAGACAAATAGAAACTTGTTATGACTTGGTCAAACTTGCAAGAAGAGAGAGTATAGGTGATAGTAGTGTCAATGCCATTTTCCTCCAGAATACTAATTTAACAAATGGAGTTAGTATAAAAGCTGAAACAGATTGGAATAGAACAAAACTGATAAATGAACATTTCAACGAAGAAAAATTTCAACTATAAAAATGCCTTAAAATTGCTGTGTCAATTCTCATAGCAAAGTGGCCATTCTTAAAATTATTTTCCCAGATCATCTTCACCTACAATAAGAAAATCTCTGTTTTACAAAAATAGAGCGAAACCTAGAGCAAATGTCCTTCAAATACAAGAACAGTCCACCCCGAAACACATACTGGGAGGCCAGCTGGGCCAGACAGGGCAGTCATGACTGAGTTCTGGAGCAAAAGGGTGGCATACAGCAGGTGGAAGCAGGAAAAGGCTATGAAGGGGTAATTTAGAAAAATAGCCTGGGCATGTAGAGGGGATGTTAGGAAAGCCAAAGCTCAACTAGAGTTAAGACTTGTAAGGAACATTGAAGGCAACAAGAAGAGCTTCTACTGCTGCATTAGTAGTAAAAAGCTGAACAAGGAAAATGTGGGACCGTTGCTGAATGAGGTGGGTGGTTTAGTCACCGTGTACACTGATAAGGCTGAAGTACTCAATGCCTTCATTGCCTGAGTTTTCAGTGTTAAGGTTTCTCAGGCCTCTGTGCTATGAGCAGGGTTCAAGGAGAAGAGGAACTATGAGCAGTGGATGAGGATCAAAACAAGGATTAGTGGGAGAACTTGACTCATGCATACATATTGGACCAGATGGGCTGGATGCAAGAATGCTGCTGATGGCATTGCAAGGCTGCAGACATATCACCTTTCAAAGACTGTGGAGATCAGGGGAGGTGCCCAGCATTTGGGGAAGGGCATATGTATGCATCTTTAAAAAAACCCAAAGGGATGACCAAGGGAGCTAAAGGCCAGCTAGCCATACTTTGGTTCTTGGGAAAATCATGGAGCGACTCTCAGATCATATTTCTGTGCCCATAAAGGAGAAAAAAGGTGATTGGGAACAGTCAGCATAGATTTCCCAAGCAGAAGTCATGTCTGACCAAACCTGATTGCCTTCTATGATAAAATGACTGAATCTGTAGACAAGGGGAGAGCAGTTGATGTCACCTGGATTTTAGCAAGACTTTAGACACTGTTTCCTGTAATATGCATGTATTCTATTGAAGATTTTATGTTCTCTATGGCTGGACAACTAGATAGTTAAAAGACTGTTTGGATGGTTGGGCTTAGGGGGTAGTGATTAATTCGTCATACTCTACCCAAAGGCCGGAAACAAGTGGAGTGTCACAGGGGTCTGTCCTGGGACCCATCCTGTTTAATATCTTTATCAATGATCTGGAGTAGGTGACAAAGTACATGCAGTTGACACCAAACTGGGGGGACCAGTCAATGCACTCAAGGGCACGGCTGCCATGCTGAGGGACCTAGACAGGCTGGAGGGATGGAAGGACAGGAACTTTATGAAATTTAACAAGGACAAATGCAAAGACCTGTACTTGGCCAGGGAAGTAGTGCAGTCTCTGTCCTTGGAGATTTTCAAGACCAGGCTGGAGCAAATCTTGGGCAACCTGGTCTGATCTCATAGCTGACCCTGCTTTGAGTATGAGGTTGGATAGAGACCTCCTGAGGTCCCATTCAATCTGTTTATTTTATTATCATTATTTTATGATTCTATGATCTTAATTTTTATGTAGTCCAGTCAGGTTCTAGTTGTCTCCCAATTGCACTCCTGAAATCAGAAACATTCATTATCTCAAGCCAAAAGGCATCAAATGTGTTTAAAATTCTTTTATTCACTTAAAAATGTCAGAGAGAGAAGTTTTGATTTAATTCCTGCAATTAAATACTCTTGGGTGTATATGGGTTTATAGCTCTCTTGCAAGCGATTTGTGGTTCATTTGGTTCCAAATGACTTTACTAGCAGTGACCACTAAAATGGAAATTCCCTACATCTGGAAAATATATTACTATGTTTGGGAAAATAACAAAAGATGGGAAAATGGTTACATAAATAAAAAAGACAGTAAAAATAATATGAGATGACACAATTTGCAGGTACAAGTAAATTAATTACTCATAGGTTTTTGTAAATGGCTAAAGAAATGTAAACATTTCAATGCCTAATTTATTTATTTATTTTGTATACACAGAAAAAAGGGCCCTTAGGACTTATTTTTTAAGAAACAAGCATGTTTTAATTACAAATTCTGCAGTAAAACAGCCCTGGGTTTTAGTCGGAGGTAATTAAAACAAATGCATTCACAACATAAAACCACGTGTATCAAATGAGATCAAAAACGCATTTAGTCAAATACCTAGACTCCAGCAGTGCCCAGTATGATGATGATCCGATATGATAATAAGAAAAGGACAAGAAGTATTTTTCCAGACTATTAATCTAGCCCATGGACTTCCTGAATCCAGTGTGCCTCCATTGTGCTTAACATGTCCCTTAGTAGATTTTTCTTCCTCCTACAGATCTGTATGATCACTTTTTAAACTGAGATTGTTCCGGTAATGAACAATACCAAACATACTTAGGGAACTAGAGCCAAATTTGTGAATAAAACACAGGCACCACTGAAAAATACAATACTGGTAGATGATTAATTTTGCACATTTTCCATTGGTTTATTTTGGCATTTCACTCATGGTACACTATGATATTTTATATAAACTTTAAGATATCGGAAAGATAAAATCCTCACAAAGAAAGGTAGGAAAAATTTTTAACACCATGCCTAGCATAAAGACATACATTTCAGTAATGCCAGACACTTGTCATACTCTTGCTCTGAAGATACTGAGTACCTGTCATCTCAGGCAGTAAGTATGATTTATGTTTTTTGAGGGACATGGTATCTGAATGTAAGCCATTTGCTAAGAGCAATTTGAAGCCAATTGTTTCTGAAGAAAAAGATTGTGTCTTAAATGTGAAGCTGCACCAAGAAAGATGGGTCAGAAGAGGCCATGGTTTCAAAAAATGAGGATGTGTGATCTATTTCATGCAATATATGTTTATGTTAATTATAGAGAAGTGTAATGTTTAGTAGGTTCTTAGCATAATGAAATTAGTTTGAATTAAAATATATCTTTAAAAACCACTATATCTTGTTTTGTTATTCATATGTGTACGGTTATTCCACTAGCTTTAAAAGGTAAAGCCTGAGTTTAAAAAGTTAAAAGTTTAAAAAGTTGAAAAGTTAAAAGTTAAAGCCTTTAACTTTGAAAGTTAAAGCCACAGAACAGAGTTGAGAAGCTAACATCAAAGAATAGTAAAGTATTTATATCAATGTAGTAACTTAGCTTGAAAACCTAAGGTAATTTTGCATTTCTGTTGTCTCACTTGGAAGAAGGGTTTTAGTGAGATGTCGAATTCAGGAGATACAAAGACATATGCTTAACTTCAGTAACACACTAACTCTGTTTTTTTTAAGTGCTAAATGTCTGCAGTTATGGATGTCATTAGATTGATGCAGCTGTCTCTTGTAGGCAGGTGAACAGTTTCCTTAAATATAGAAGAGCCTGTAGTAACTTCTTAATTTTACCTTTGCCCCAAAAGGGCTTGACAGTTTTCTAAAGTCAGACCTAGTAAAATGATGTGCAAAAGACATGTAGTAATTTCTTAAGCTACTTCTGAAATGCAGCAATTGCTCTTCAGTTGCCATGAGACAACTGTTGAGAACAGAAGAATATTGACCTCCACCGCCCTGCTGTTCACACCCCAGTAAAGTAATAACTTTTGTTAAGATCTGGTCTTTGTGAAGGTTTGGTTTCTCTCCCATCTCCATTTGCAAGAAGGAAAAGATCCTACTACAAGACATTTAGTAGGACAATCAGCTGATTTAGTTGATCAGGAATGGAGTTGTGTGTCTCTTCCAAAAGATTTGAAACTGACAACTGAATAATTTAAGGAAGAAAGGAAACCATAGGAGAGAACAGCTGCAACAGTGTCATGGGTTGACAAATTTGATGAGAAAAAACAGGTGGAAAAACATGTGTGCAGAGAACAAGAATGCCATAACTAGGGAAAGGATTTTATTTTTGTAGCAGTTGGCTCTGTCCATGTGTTGCTTTTCTTTACAGTATCTTGACAGTTTCTTTTTGAATGACAGTTAGAAGGAGGGAAAGAAAACACTACATTTCTAATCATATCTCTATGTTGTTGTTCTTATTTCTTATTTGAGGCTGGTTTAACTACTTATTTTCATCCTGGAATAAACCTGAAGAAAATCCATTCTTACAGCATCAAACTCTATGAAAAGCTGGAAGAAGAGACTGGACAGGTAATCTCCTTAACCTTGTAATTATTCATTCAGAACAATGTTAACCTTATGAATAGTCTTACAAAAAATTTGGAGTTCACAAGTTGATTATGGTTGTGTTCATGACTATCATAAAGCTCCCATTTTATTGAAATATATTCTCCTGCCTGCATATAGCCTGGTGCTTAGTCACTAAATATTTTAGATGGTTTTCCAGATCCGTCTAAAGTTTAAGAAGATGGTTTTCATCAAACATCTCAGAAGCTCAGCAGACTGAGAGTCTGCAACTTTAGCTTGGTATAGGAGTTAAAATAGCATCAAGAATCTGGAATGAACGGATTGATTATGATACGTTCCTGCTTTAAACATGTCCACTTAAAAATTCATATGATATGATGCTGTCTGTACTTGAGAAGATTGCTGCAATTCTTCCCATCCCTTTCTGAGATGTGTTTTTATTTAGTGACTTAAGGAATGGGTATGCAGAGAAACACAGGGGTCATCTTTTTTATCTGGCATCACTTAGCCATATAGATTTCATTTACTAAACTCATGCTTGCTTCAGACAGCAGCAGAAATTTCATGATCCTCAGTGTACTAGTCTTCAGACTTGATGATTGTAATAAAATGCTTTTTTCTTCATTCTGCTGCTCAGCTAGATAAGATACTACAGCAGATTATCACTGTGAGTTCTACTAAAAGACTTATTCAGCCATATTAATGTCCTGTGAGGTAACACAGAAAATATGAAGTAAATAGTGTACACCAGAAAGTGAGCATTCAGTGTCCAACTATATAAGGATTTCTACTTTATTAAAAAGACAAAAAGAGGCAGGTGGCTATTCGTTGTGTCAATAAAGGTGCTTAGTCAGTTACGTTTATTCTGCAGCATCTCAACAGAAAATTATGCAGGTGACAGGCTTTAATATAAACTATTATATATTTATTTTTGAGATGTATCTGATTCTATTTTTGAAAGTGTATGAGTGCATAAATTCAAATATTTATCAAATCTTAATAAAAATAATAATATCACGACATTCAATAAAAGCTTTTTAAAACTGTTTTGAAGATAGTATGTATTAACCTAGGAAGTTAATTTGATAACTTTTTTAAAAAAATTATTTTCTCTGGGAGTTTGCATCTAAGTCCTGTTCCTTCAAAGGCACCTAACTTCTTTGAATCTCTTTTCAGTGATGTTAGTGACAAAATTCCTATAGACTTCCCATAGCATAGGAACATGCCTTTATGGAGATAAATAAAGATTCTTTCAGTAATTCACTTTTGCTCTTTGTTTTAGGCTGTGGGGTTTCATCAGCCTGGCAGCATCAGAATTGCTTCAACCCCCACTAGGGTGGATGAATTTAAATACCAAATGACTCGTGCTGGTTGGCACCCAACAGAGCAGTACCTAATCACACCTGAGAAAGTACAAGAGCTATTTCCCTTATTGAACATGGATATGGTAAAGTACTTAATTTTATGAAAAATAACTTCCATTGCAATTAAATATTGGTTTATCAGATATGTAGACATAAGGTCTGTTTATACAAATTGTACTATAAATTCCTGTTTTTCAGTGAAAGAAAGATACATTATAAGAAATAAAGTCTTTTTTTTAAAAAAAATAGTTAATTTTGATAAATTTAAATTTCTCTTATTTTGTGGGATTTTACCTCCACTTAGGTTTTAGCTGGCCTGTATAACCCTGGAGATGGTCATATTGATCCCTATTCTCTCACTATGGCCTTGGCTGCAGGAGCCAGAAAATATGGTGCCCAGTTAAATTACCCCATCCAAGTGACTAATCTGAACTCCCGATCAGATGGGACATGGGAAGTTGAAACTCCACTTGGAACAATTCGAGCAAAGAGAATTGTGAATACTGCAGGTAACATAAGCATTTGTATGCAGATCTTCAGATTTACCAACTAACTGACACAGAGCATCTGTACTGAATTGTGTGAATTACAGCAGTAAGTAATACGTGGTTTTGACTATTCACTTGATTTGTGTTAAAACATACTTTGTGCATATTACTTTACAGTATTGTGAAAATTTAGCTCTTACGTTAATTGTCCTTGACTAGGCATTAATAATATTTCTTTTGGGTTTGTTTCCAGCATTTACTAGTCAGACTGTCTTGTTAGATTTTAATAGCAGAAGAGACCTTTACTGGTCTACAGTAAGTTGTGTAGAAGAGACAGGCTACTGTCAGCCAAACTGATGTTTCTGCTTCAAAGAGCTTTTGGGCCAGAGTCCTTCGGATTCGTGTTTGTTTTCCTAAACAAGTTGATAGGTCTAAAAACCTGTATTCAATCTAAACTTCACTTATTTTTATGCTGCTTTATACAAGTTACAGAAAAATATATTATTGGTGAAACTGTTGGCATCTCCTACGTGAAGCATGCCTTCTGCTTCCTAGTGGAAAACTTTCTGTTTTCAATTGTTTGAAAATATGCTGACTATTTACCATTTGGATGAGTTTTTTGCAGTCTGTCTGTCTCAAACTGAATCATATCTGCATTTTTAGGGCATGAGTCTTTCATACATCCCATATCAGTGAATAATCAGACTTCAGTAGGAAGCTCAAGACCTTCTCTTCTTGCTCAGATAGGACAAGTGAACTGAGAGCAAGGATATGTCTTTATAATTCCTTTTTACATCTGGGCAGTGGAAAAGAAAAAAAACATCTATTTCTAGTGCAAAGCAGATAAAATTAAGAAGTTGAGTGAGACAGGGACTCCTCTTGTTTGTGGGCAGAATAAGCATGGCTGACAATTGGAAGCATGAGTGAGTTGTACTGGAAGGGGAATAGACTGGGAGAGTGAAATGCTTGGGAAAGGTTCCTGGAGGTGTCTGGGAGCACTGACAGCAAGTGGAACACTTGTGTGCTAGAGGACTTGCTGAATCAGGAAGCTCGATCCGGGAGGGATTGTGGGGATGGCAACAGTGAGGATGACACCATAGAGAGGGGTAACGGAAAGGGATCTGACATGTTTCATTAAGGGAACTGGAGCTGGCGCCTTTCGGACAAAAAGATTAGGAAGGATACTTGAGGAATAGTTGTGTGTGAAACTGAGACTGGAAAATTGAGGCTGCCTGAGCTGTCTGAGCATGAAAGTCTGGCAGAGTAGCAAGGGAGATGTGGGAGTAGATTGGAAGGAAGAGAAGGCAGGTGGGACAGGATCTGACAAACGAGGGAGACTGACTCGCACACGGAGTCAAAATAGCTGAAGAGGGATGTAAAGACTGGAGTAAGAAGAGTAGAGTATGAGACTGAGCAGAAAAGAAGAGCAGGTATGGGACAAGCAAGGATAGGGAAGAGAGAAGATTGCGGTAGACAGAAGTTTGGAGGGAATGGGATAAAAGGGCTGAACTCTGAGAGGATGAGCTTTACCGAGTGACCTGTCTTTCAGTGTCTGGGATGTAGACAGCCCCATGTTAGATCATTCCAGGCTTTCAGTAACTAACTGGGAAACCCATTGAAAAGTGTGCTTTCTCATCATATGCTTCCCATGCATAGGTGACCATCTGCTATTGCTGTAAACCTAGCTAAAATAGCAGGGATCTGAAAAAGTTCACCTTGAGGATCTAAGCATGCTCATGAACTGTCATGATGTCCACACAGTGCCACATAACGACATTTTGGAGAGAAGGAGGACTAGAAGAGTTCATATGCTTTTTAGAAAGCAAGAAACCAGAGAAAGAGGGAAACCAAATTATAAGCATTTTATTTAGACTGCAAAGTCAAGCACTTAGAAGATGAGAGGTGTCAATATTTGATTGCCTTTGGACTGTCAGTTCATGGCTTTCAGGCATGAATTATGGGACAGCATTAGGTTACAAAATCACAAGCTGTCTTACTAATAGGATCCTTATGTCATTTGTTACACAGTATGGATATATTGGTCTGGGAATGATCCAAGATTATGGAATGGAAAGGCAGCTCTTTTGGCACTCACACTTCTTATTTAGGCCACAGACTTCTAGGCACTCATTATTCCTAACCATTGGCCCTGCATCATATGGATGAAGTATCACAGATGTAGTAATTTCCTTATATTCTTGTAGTGTAGTTATCTTTCTTTGGCTTATGTATCAAGTTGACATAAGGCAGAATTTTGTAATAAATGCTTTTCAAAGTTTATTTGCAAAGATTAGAATGCACCCTTGTGAAATTTTCATAGTCTTTTTTTTTTTATTTAGTAAGTTATTAAACCAACAATATATTTAGTTAATTCTCTTGCGTAGTTAACTATTCAGCCAAAATGAATATCAGAAGCACATATTGCTTAACATTCTGGCTAAAGATGTGAAATCAGTACTGTATAACACATATCTCTTGTAAATATTCTCTCAGCTAACATTCATTCTTCTTCTCAGCCTTGCCTCATTCCACTATAGATCATGACTGGTATAATTCAGGGCTCATATTTTAGGCTCGTGTTGCAATACGAGCAGAGAAAAATGTATCAGAAGGCTCTCTACATTCTCTCTCCCCCATCATCCTCCAACTGACATCTGCCGTGGAACTGGAACAAAGTAGTTTCAACCAATCTTTAGCTGTTCCTTATGTGAGATTTCCATTTTGGAAGAAAGCAGATGCCCAGTAAATAACCCCTGACGTGGTATTGAGCCTGCTGAAGTGATTTGCAGCCTATTTATAATGGAATGTTTGATTAAAGTCTGCAAAAATAGTGAATTTAGTTTATATATACAGTATGTGTGTTTGTATATAAGGACACATTTGCAGACATGTAGGTACACACTCTATATACAACCATTTATACATATGTAGTAATGGAAGATTTTCTGTTTTTTAAAAACAAGGGATAGACAGATTACATAGTTCAACAGATATGCTAAGTACTACCACCACTAAATATTTCAGCATCAGATGTTTGCAATCTCTACAATTTAATCTTTACAAATGTCCTAGAGATATAATTTATGCCTTCGTTTATGTCTAATATATGTGACAGGACTTGACATCTGCTTCCAATTGGAATTTTGTTTTGGAGAACATATTCTTCCTTTTGCCATTTTTGTGTTTGTAATAGCTTTTGCACATGGTTCAAACACTTTAAACAAAGAAACTGTAATATTTTTCATTTAGTAAATGTCAGCTGTTGTAATTCTAAGCAATTAAATAAGCACTTATCATAAATGTGATTTTTTTTAGAAGTACAATATTGAAAATTTGATTTTAAGCAAACTGAAACTATTTGCTTTCAATTCAAAAGCAATTTAAAATCAGCTGTGTTTGCAATGTACTTCTGCAAACTTAATGGCTAAGAAATTTAATATTATTTTGAAGGAAACAAAGTTAAGTTTCAAAGACCTAAAATTAAGTCTACCATTTTTATTTTCTTTGAGGAGCTTGAATATACTTGCTGTCTATATTTTCCCACTCATTTTGTTTTAATGAGTAAGCAAAATAGTGAATTTATTAGAAGCACATTCCCAGACCATTATTTCTTTTCCAGATATCTCTTTAAGTGCAAGCAATTTTGGCAGGAAAACAGTGCATGATACTAGAGATGAAATTTTCTGCTACTTCAGCTTTCTTTCTCCTTTATGGATCATTAGCTGACCTTACCTTAAAATAGTTTTCTTTGCAGGTGACATGGAAATGCACAAATCAAAAGAAGTTCCATAAAGATTGTTAGCGTCCACTTAAATCCACATTTGTATTTGTCATTTATAATGGAGGAAGCCCTTGCAGATGTGCTAGTAATTCAAATTTATTAGAATTTTTTTGTTGCTTTTTGCATAGGGGAGCATAAATCAGGTTTCAGTAGCCTTAAAGGATGTTTTGAATCACTGTATGACTATGGCATGATCTTCCCTGAGCTAATTTAACTGACTTAACAAGTGTTCTATTAGTGAGTCTCCTCCAAGTGGTAAGGATTCCGTTAAGAAGCAACTCTTATGTATGATAAATGCAGAACAACAGATACTGGTTTTTAGTATTTACTGGGCAGGGTCTTTTAATTGAACAGATCTCTCTGTCATGATCCTGGATTTCCTGCTCCCTTGCTTTACCTGGCTGTCAGCAATTGTCAAGTGAGTCACCACAGAAAACATTTTCCTCAGAAACTTTGCATTTTTAAAAAGCAGGACCTCCACTCCTTGATCCAAAGAGTCAGGAGGGTGGGGCTGAAGGATGTTCCAAGCTTCGTAGAGCAGCTGCCATCCCAGTCAATTGTATCTGTCTGATTTTCCTGTGTATATGTTCCAGCCTCGCAGCAGATGTGAGCCATGATGCAAAGCCCAAACTAGTAAGTTTGACAGTTAAGTGCCTTCCACTCCTTGACTTTGACACAGGTATGTTATTAAGTGAATGTGTCTTACTGGCTGGAAACACCTAGTCTGGAGGGACCTTAGCAGAGAAGAATTAGGTCTTCTTTAGCTTATGCCTAGTAGTATACACGAAGGGCCTGTGTAGTCTTCAGGGGCAGGGAAATTGTTGCTTGCTTTTTCTGGTCACAGTCTGTATCAGAGCTTTTAATTAGACAACTATGGAAGAACACACTGACTACTCACCAATACGGACATCATAATGAATTGAGTGCTACGTGAGAGGCATAATTAATATGAGTCATGTGATGCATGTGAAAGAGGAGACAAACAAATTCTTGAGGTTAGCTGGCTGAAAGTACTGCCTTGCTCTGTTGGGGTGTTAGGACTTGACTGCTGTCTTGGGAAAACATACTAGCTCATTTAGTTGATAGTAAGAGGCGAGGTTAACATCTATGGCGTGAGCTAATTTATTCTGATTTTTAAGTGTCTGTGACTTTGCTAGGACACATTGCAGACCTACTTTACTGAAAGAAACCATGGGGTTTGTGGGACTGTTGATTAAACTCTCTTCTGAACTTTCAGAAGCCTAATTTATATTTTCCCAATAATAATAGAATAATATATGGTAGTATAATTAGGAACGAGGACAAGGAATTATAGAGGGAAAATTATGCTGGATAATATGAAAAATAATTTGAAAATTAGAAGTATGGAAAAAGATTTCTTTGTCACATTCCATAAAGCGCAGTGCTTCCTGCAAATGTTTTACTGTTATTTTCCATTCATTGGGATCAGTCTTTGAATATTTCTGTTTTGTTTTTTGTCATCTCTAGGCTTCTGGGCCCGTGAAATAGGCAAGATGATTGGCCTGCAGCACCCTCTCATACCCGTTCATCATCAGTATGTTGTGACATCAACTATCCCTGAAGTGAAAGCCCTGAAAACAGAATTACCTGTGATTCGTGACTTAGAAGGATCATATTATCTAAGGCAAGAAAGGGATGGTCTTTTATTTGGTCCATATGAAAGTGAGGAGAAGATGAAGCTGCAGGACTCATGGGTAACAAATGGAGTCCCACCAGGTAATTAAGAACATTAAGTCTTTAAACTTGATAAGCGCTAGCACATGTTCTAATGTGTATAAATCCCAGCCTGTCATGCTGCCTTATGTGATGGAAAATAGAAAATATTTGCAGTGCATGATTGTAATGCAGAAACCTTTTTTCAACAAACAGAACTCTAATGATAAGAGTGAATAGAAATAAAAATGTAACATAAAAAAGCCTATTTGAAATAGGCACAATACACATATTTACAACATAGTCTTACGCTACTCTCTGAACAGGTGCCTGTGTGTTGTGATTAGATGCAGTCACCAAATCTGTGTTATGTAGCCTTTTGTTACTGAATAGGGATTTTTCTAAGCTACAGTTCTCTCCAGCGTACTGACAGAGGCTTTTGATTTTTGCTGTTCCCACAGAGATAATGTGGTTGTCAAATAAGAATACAGGTATAGTAAAGGAATGTCTTAGACAAAATGCTGTGCTTGGATATAACTGCAAGAGAGCTGTAGATTTGTACAGAATTTTTGTACAAAAAATCCCAGCAATGTCATACTGCTGCTTATTAAAAACAAATTAAAATTACTGTGTTATATCTAGGCTACAGCTTTCCATCCACTTCTAGACAGAAAGTTATATTAAGTCAATAGTGTTGCTGGTTTAAAAAAACACAACATGTTTCCTAAGGAAGAGGAATCAGTGTTGTTGGGCTTTGGGTTGCGCTGTCCCAGCTTCCTGAACTTATTGTCTCCAGTAGTGTCAAGTCCCTCTACAGAGTGACATTCAATAATGCTTAGAACCCAGACTGAAGGCTGAAAAATATCCTGGAATTCACTAAACACTGGAAATGATAAGCTGACACAGGCAATATTGTTCTTCCACACCCCAAATTGTTGGCATATTGAGAAAAATAAGTGGGTCTTAGTAACATAGAAGGAAGTTTCTGTGTTTCTCCACTTCCTTTCTACTTCATTGTTGAATTTGCATGACCTTAGGGTTAAACAAATATGTAAAAAGGACAGTGTAACTGCAGTGACAATAAACTTGATCCTGCAGGTAACTAGGGATTAGTGCACACCATTTTTCTTGTGTAGGATGGCAAAGGCTTCAAGATACTCACTGATGACTTCCATGTAACTTTTTTATTTATGTAGATTGCATAACTGTATTTAAAATGTAAGTATTTTCCATGTCATTAAGTATATAATAAGAGTCAAATATTTGTGCAGGTTTTGGAAAAGAACTTTTTGAATCTGATTTAGACAGAATAATGGAGCATATTGAGGCTGCTATGGAAATGGTCCCAGTTCTGAAAAATGCAGACATCGTAAACACAATTGCAGGTCCTATCACCTATTCTCCAGACATTCTTCCCATGGTGGGACCACATCAGGGTGTCAGAAATTACTGGGTAGCTATTGGTTTTGGGTGAGTAAATTCTTCGTGACAACTTTTGTCTGTCATATTGTTAAAATGGCACTTAGCTCAAGCTTTGCAAATTTTTGTGGGTTTGGGGGTTGTTTCGCACGTATTTTATGTAAAACGTAATTGGAAATAGTCTTAATTACCACTACCTACATAATACAAGCTCTTGCTTACTTCTTCATAACTCTCACTATTTTTTCAATTTGTTTCCTCCTTTTGTTCTGGAGGTCAACATCTGTGACACTTTATGAAGGAGCAAGAAATGGGTAGTACTTGGTGCTGTCTGTGCAGCAAGTTATTAAGTCATAGAAGTGCTGGGCTTTACAATACACTTTCCAGTTCGTTTTATGCATTGCTTTGGATTACATTGTGTTCAACAATTGTTTGGCATTTGCAGAAACTGGTGTCACTGAAGTGGCAAGAATGATTGGTACAGGGAGAACTAATATGAGGTATTAACTTTTGAGTGAAGAGTGGAAAGCATACTAAGCAGAAGGCACTGCCAGCATACTGGGTGACTGACTGCTCTAGGGATACGAACACAGTAATTGGTCTGACTGTTGAAGGCTGAGCTGAGGAATGACGTTGCTGGATGTTGGAGGAAAGCAAATGAGGGCCGTGTGACAACAGGAATGGGTGTTTTACTGGTGTCATTTATTCTCTCCTGCCCATTACGATATTTTCTTTGAATGTGACTTACATCTTATATGCTCTGGCTTTACGGAAGTCAGTGGTAAAACTCTAACTGACTTCTCTTCAATTGTCTTAGTTTGACCAGTGATTCAAGATCGATAGAATGAACTGAATACAATTCCAGGCACATGTTATTGAACACGTTCTGTTTACATTGTTTTTCCAGTTGCCTAACTTGCTGTTCAAAATCCAGCTCAGCTTTTTCCAGTTTTCTTTCAGTCCAAACCAAACAAACCCTCAGATCATAAGATAAGGCAGTACCACTAACGTGCTTTCCAAGACACTCAAAATAAAAAGGTTTGGTAATTTTGCAATGATTCATTGTGAAAGGTATTCACCTTTGCTGCTTGGATTTAAAAAAAAAAATGTTATCTTTTAGTAACATTTGCAGAACTTACAGTTACAAAAGTGGTTTGCCTAGTCCTCGTTCACCAAAAGACTGTTTAAGTTCATTGCTGTGCCGCCAGACTTTGGAGCCTGTTTTCCTTCATTGGTGTCAATGGGAGTAGAATCAAAGTTCCATATAGGTATAACTGAAGACCGGTGTTATATGTTTAAGTTTCTTTAAACAACTTATTTCAGGAATTTGATTAGTCTATAAATGTTTAGACACAGGTCACAGTTATGTTGCTATCATTGGATTGCTTTGTCTGCTTTTCAGGGACTTTTGACTCTCTGTTCTATGCTTCTGGGTCACTGCAGTGTTTCTACCAGTGTTGTAATTTTTTGTGTGCATTAGTAAATCCTTATCTCGTAGTCAACTAGCAGGGACATTGTGACAGAGGACTTAGTGCTGTTAGTTTAGAGGATTTTTTTATCTAAAATTAGCAGCTTGCTAGGCATTTTAATGTGCAAAGAAGTTAATAAGTATATTTAGCAGAGCTTGTAGCACTGTTTATTATTAAAGTTGCTCAATGTTTCCCATTTAAGACTGTTTTCAGTTACTTATGACTTTGAAAATGTTAACAACAGTAGGCTAGGATTTTATTCAGAAAAGTTTAAGTCAAAGCAGTGTAACCATTCCAAAGAACGAGATTTTTGGAAGGTATGTTGTTTTGCTGTGTTAAGGTTTTTGGGGTGAAGTCTCTCTTTCGAAAAGCTCTAATTTCCCCATTTTCTGAGAATGAACTTCACATTTGGCAGATGTTACCTCTCTCATAAAGATAACGCCTTTCTGCCATTCTTCACAAAATCTATCCATAAGGCCTATTCACAAACCTTTATAAATGTTACAGCTCATAAACACTTGAGACTCACTAAATCTTGCACTAAGATTGCTGCATTCTATCTACAGTAGTATTCCACAGCCAGAGACTGAACAGGAGTTTTCCTGCAGAAATGGAATAGAAAAATGGCTAAACCTGGGACAAAGACTAGAAAAGGGACCATGGTGTGCAAGGACTCAGATTTCCTAGGAAGAAGGAGTGGAATGAGTGGAAAAATCAGTGAGAAGCAAGGACTCATAAACAAGATAAAAGAATAGGACAGGGACAATGGGGAAGATAATCTGGCAGGGAATGGAAGGAGAGAAGGAAAACAGAGAAGGGCAGTTTGTGTTCATTAAGGAAATTTTCTGTAAATCCTCATATGAAGACTGAGATTCCTAAACTGTACCCATCTCTACAGCTACTTGTAACATCCCATCCCTGCAAAACATGTGTTTCATTCTTGTGTAGCAGAAATGCAGTGGTATATTAATACGATCAGCTCCCCGTTATCTGAGGTGATAAGGGATTTGGGCACCCTTCATAATTTAAAATCTCTGATAATGTAGGCCCAGCTAGGAGCACCACAATCAACTGATTGCACAAAGTCATTGCTGCAGAACTCTGCAGAGTGCAGACCAGTCAGCCCACATGCAGTGCTGTACTTGTAGTAGCAGCTCCACACTGCAGGGCTGTCTTGCCCCCAGGGCTACCCTGCCATCAGCTCAGCAGTCTTCAGCTGAAGCTGGAAAACGTCATTGTATTTGGTCTGTTGCCACCCACAGTCATGCAGTGGTCTCTGTGCGGTGTTCCCCTGTGCTTTTGGCTGCAGTGAATGATGCAGGGAGACTTAAGCTGTCTAAAGCTTCTTCTGGAGCCGTTCTTGAAGGCATCGTGGCCATGGTCACAAAAGGAATACCTGGGAATAACTAAGAGTTGCCTAATTAAATTAACTCCAGCAATGGCTAGCTCTTCTGTAGTACTTGCAGAGTGGCAGTTTACAAGTGCTCACCCTTACTGCATCAACTGCAACGATACAAGCTTGTGCTGAGAATCTGAATATTTATGCTGAGCAGCCTAAAGGAGTGTGTTTGGCAGAATTACTTAATGTACTAAACTGTTTGATATTTCTGTTTTATTTAAATAAATAAATAAATTACAGGTAAAACCCCACTATATCAAAGTAATCTCATGAATATTATGAAGTCAGGCATTCTACAGTTAGGAAGTGCCAAAACTAAGTTATATGTGTAATCTGAATTCATTCTTCTTATGCATATGCATTAGAATTAAATGATTACATCCCTTTTTTCCTCCACAAGTTCCTTGCCTATTTAATGGAGGGCATAGAATTCAGAATGCAAAGTTGATGAACAAGCAATTCAATTTTGTTTTAGCTTCACTATTCAGTGTGAGTGCCTGTGATTTAATTGCTGCATGCTAATCTAAACTTGGTTTTGGACAAACTTACTATTTCTTCAAGGATTTTTCTGTTATGCTCATTGGAGCACTTCACAAATAACTAAGAATTTATTTCCACATCTTCCCTAGACAGGAGGCTATTTTGACACTTTATTTTTAGACATGGCAAACTAATTCACAGAGGTATTAAAATAAAACATTTTAAATCATTCAATATTAATAATTATTTGTCATTAAATGTTTTGATGTCAAATCTGAGGTGCCTGTAGTTCAGGATTACGTAGTACTGTTTGGTCATATGTAGACTGAGTAGTGACATACATATATTGCATCACAATGAAGATCCTTGTCCCCAGTTGTCCACTTCAGGTACCTCACAGGAGCAGTTTTCACACACATTTTCCTTACGGATGTCAAGATGTCAAACATTTTGAAAGTCAGAATTATGTCGCTTCATAACTTCTGAGCATCTACCTTTGCTGGCTGGTGTAGTTCCTTTAATGCAGGTTTCTAACAAGGGATCTCCTTTACAGTCTGATCTGTCACACACCCATTATGTAGAAACTGGACAGCCTTTTGCTACAGACTGGTAGCAGAAAACTTCTACATGTTTATTTTGTTAGCATAAGCTTTCTGGAACCAGTTGTCTTTGTAGTTGTAATAGAGAAGAGAGAAGGTAAATCAGACGAGAAAAAGCAGCTTTCAACTCTGGCAGCACTGCAAACACGTCTTCTAGTTTTATCTGCAGTTCCTCTGCATTCCCTGATTCTTTAAAGCTGTCTCGGTAATGTTGTCTCCTGACTTTTGCTGCTGTTGCTCTTGTCACTGTAATGTAAATATTCCCTGTAGCTGCTAGAATGTCTCAGTTTGATTTTCAAATCTGAGTCTGGTTTAATCAAGTCTGATTGAGAAAGAAGAGGCATTCTATGACTAGAAAGTGTATTTAATGGAAATTAGATGTTTGAGAACTTTCTTTAATATTAATTGTTGAAGACTTCTAATGTCCCTGGAAAAGATTGTTAAATTCTGAACTTCAGAGAAAGAAAGAGCTTGCTCTAATACCAAGCACCGCAAATGCTGTACATTAGCAATGGAGTTTTGCTGCTGACAGTGGGGCAGTAAAAATATCTCTCAATAAAGCATGTAATCTTGGAAAACAAGACAAAATAGAACAACCCCTCCCCCTCCCCCCCCCAAAAGATGGAAAATTTTAGAATACTGTAAGGGGTGTATTAGTAGTATATGCTAGTACCCGATTTTTAAAAACAAGCAAACAAAAAGGACTTGGCACTACAGGACTTTTTCCTGTTTTTAAGGTATGGCATTATACATGCTGGTGGCATAGGAAAGTACCTCAGTGACTGGATCCTTGAGGGGGAACCTCCATTTGACCTGATAGAATTAGATCCCAACCGGTATGGAAAGTGGACCACCACAGAATACACAGCAGCCAAAGCAAGAGAATCTTACGGTTTTAATAACATTGGTAAGAAGGTATTTTTTTAAATACATTTATATCCTGAAAACGGATTCCAACAAACCCTGCCCCTAGATTTCTCTGTCTATATATATGCATTAATATACATTCTATCTTGGTGATGTACAGTATTTTAGTGTGCCATGGTTTAGGGTTTGGTATTTTTTTTCCCTCTAGTTGGTTACCCTAAAGAAGAAAGATTTGCTGGGAGACCAACAGAGAGAACCAGTGGGCTGTACGATTTGCTGAAATCAAAATGTTCAATGGGCTTTCATGCAGGATGGGAGCAACCTCATTGGTTCTACAAACCCGGAGATGAGACTGGATACAAGTAAATAAAAGATTACCTTCCCCCTGCCCCTGATAAATTGTCATGACAACAAGGGCCAGCTGAGTTAAATTTAATAAGAAGCATACATTTATCATTCATTTCAGCTAAAGGTATCTATTAGGTAGATCTTCCATTATTGTTTTTTTCTGTAGTTTAGAATCCATTTCATTCCAATAATGCAGACATTTCAAAATATGCATCAAGGTATCCTGTAACTCTTCTAGGTATGGGATATCAGGGAGCAGCCTAGCTCAAGGAAAAGATTAGAGAACAATTTGTTCATTATAAATTTGTATTTTTCTCCCTTTCTTATTTTTTGATCAGCAGGACAGTATGTTTTCATGAAAAGGCTGATTCCTCCCTGTATAATTCTCAGCAAGGGAGAAGCCCAGTCCTCCTTTCTTTTTTTTTTTTCCTGTGCTTGCCTACCTAGTTACCTGCTTGCATCAAGGAGCATCCAGCAAATGTTTTCCACAGGGATACTAGAGTCCCAATCTAAATGAGGCTCATAAAGGAATAAAGAGACACACTCTTCTGTTCAGAAATAAAGCCTTTGACACCTTAAACTCAAATAAATGATTCAGCAACAAAGTATGCTGTAAATTTGCACAACAGACTACTACTTCTTTTAACATTTGAACAGTTCACAGTTTATTGTACAAAATGGTTGATAAAATATCAACCCATATCTTTCTTTGTTGTTAAATGATTTCAATAATTAAGCTATGTTAGACCAAGGAAAATACTGGCTAAGCTACCTACAATTAGGAAAGACTGTCTCTTTTGAATGATTATTAAACTGAAGAAACTGAAGACTACGTTTTGCTGAAAAGAGCACAAAATTTCCAAATTGTGTTTTATGTGTGTAAATACTCTGTTTCAGACCCAGTTTTCGGCGCACAAATTGGTTTGACCCTGTGGGTCGTGAGTATAAACAGGTTATGGAAAAAGTCGGTGTGATTGACCTGTCACCATTTGGCAAGTTTAAAGTAAAAGGCACAGATTCTGTTAAGCTGCTGGATCATCTATTTGCAAATGTTGTTCCAAAGGTAAATGGGACAGTGATAACTGTTTTAATGTAGGATTTAGACAAACAAGATCTGTTTCAGAAATGGAAAATGAAGCATAATATTATTGCCATATACTTCAGATACCAAATACTCAGATCCTTTGGAGAAATTGCTCTGTCAGGAGATCTATATCACTCAGTGAAGAGCACAGACAGTGGAGTTTATACTAGACTAGCCCCACATAGAAGTACCTTTTAGCACAAATCATTGAATCATAGAATGGTTGAGGTTGGAAGGGACCTCTGGAGGTCACCTTGTCCAACCCTCTGTTCAAGCAGGTCACTGGAGCTCATTGCCCAGGACTATGTCCAGGTGGCTTTTAAATATCTCCAACGATGGAGACTCCACCAGCTCTCTGGGCAACCTGTTCCTGTGTTCAGTCACCTTTACAGTAAAAAAGTGTCTCCCTGAAACAGAGAACCTTCTGGGTTTCAAATCGTTGTCCAAAGAAGTCCAAGTGAATCTCACCTGGAATTCTTTTACAGTAGTACTAGAATAGCTTGGCAGCTGCCTGCCTAAAACTGCACTGTACTGTGGCAGCTTCAGGCAGCAGAGGAGAGCAGCAGAAGGTGCTCTTGCCTGACCATAGCTGGATGTTCTATTCTTTCTGGATGCCCAAGGGAACAGTTTTGTTGTTTGTTTTTTTTTTAAATGTGACCCATACTTATTTTCCACCCCCCTCATACTGACTCTGTTTTACAGCTGGCTGCCTGAAGCAGGCAGGGTTGCAAATATTCAGGATATTCAGCTTTCAGCTCACACCTGTCCTTTCTCCACAAGTGTGTCTGCTCACAGATACTCAGAATATGATCCTGTTATCAAAAATGTCACAGTGACAAACTGCCCCAGGCTTTTTGTTCTTGGTCCTCAGTTTATGGTAGTGCTCCATGAGTCCTTTTATCTTCCTGCTTTGTCAGCCACTCTCGTCTAGTGTTTTTAACTTCAGAGATACACCTCCAGCAAGCAGAGTGTTCCTTTCCAAAGTGCTACAGCCACGGGGTTTGCTCATTTCAGCCCAGAATTTCACTATGTTTTTGCTGTGGGTAATGGTTTTAGCTGCTTCAGACACCAGACAGAGGAGGCATAGGGAAACAGTAGGTACACTGAGACTATAGTTACGAAGGTAGAGAACTTCTCAGAGGTCAGAGACAACTGAATGGGAAGGCTGTACACAAGAGTGGTGTCCTATAGGTTTAGGAGAAAGAAGAACCTGAATTGCCATGTAGTCATATTTTTTACTGTATTAATTTTGTGATAGCAATAGAGATTAAAAGTTTGTCTTCTTTCTGGCTTGGGGTTGAGGTGGGGTGACTTGTCATCAGTGGGCATGGATAACGCTGAATATATTTATGTGGTGGGGGGAAAGCAAGATTAAATAGGAAATTATGAGAACACAGCAAGTGCTTTCTATGGAGTTTAATCAGTGTTGCTAAGGGGAAAAAGAAAGATAGACGGTAAAATAGAACAAACAGTTTATAAGTCCACTTAAAAATCCAGCATTCACAACAGCTGATTATTTAAGCTATCTGATTTTTGGTACTATTCATGCTTGTCGCCATCATAAAATAATTCAGTGAAGTTGCTGGAGATATACTTGTATCACAACCAAGTTGAGTGTTACTAACATCAGATCCCAAAAATTCAATTATGTGCCTGTAATATGCCAGTAACTATATTAATGTAATATATCTTTGCAAAAGAATGTTAATATCTGCAATATTTTTCCTTCTTCCATTCATTGTCTGGAATCTGGGCACTGACTGGGTGATTGACAAGGTTCTTATGAAAGCAGAATGAAATAAGAGAAATTAAATTCTGCCTCTGGAACCAGACCAGCACAACAGCTATGGCACAGTCATACTTCTGTCTGTATGGATGATATCTGTATGAACATGTATACATTTTATGGTCACAGCTAAGTAACTGTTATTTGAAATTTTGCCTCTAGAGATGACATTTCTACACAGAACCCGATTCAAATGTACAGAGATGTAGATTCAGACTCAGCAACTACATAAAATATAAAAGCATACATAAATCAGGGCCACAAAAGCATAAGCCAGCTCAGTATTTCTTTCTTTAAAGTAAGGGGCAAAGTAATGTTATCCTTTTGGGTTCTGAAAGTCTTATCCACATGATTGAAAAAGAATATTTATGTCAATAACATGTAGAATGTTTTATTCTGATTATCAGAGAAAAAAATAAAATTGATTGAATTTGCATTGAAAATGCATTCTTAAATGTAGTTCAAGAACACCTTGTGTAATACACAATTAACAAATATTTATAAAGGTCTTGATTTATCTTATTTCAAAAATTTCAATTTTTTTCAATGAAGAAAAATGTGAAATTTCCACTGTAAAGCTTAAGCTTGGCCAATTGTGTCTCTGTCTGCTCCTATTATGGCATAGAAGAACAAACATAAAAACATTGTTCTTTCAAGTAAAGACATATTTCCATATATTTTATAATGTTTAAGAATTCAAAGGCTTTATTTTGCATTCTTAATAATTGCAAATTTTACTCTGTAGGTGGGTTCCACAAATATAAGTCATATGTTAACACCGAGAGGAAAAGTTTATGCTGAGCTAACAGTCTCTCAACTGTATCCTGGAGAATTTATGCTTGTAACTGGCTCGGGGTCAGAACTCCATGATCTGAGGTTAGTTTATTTTTGATACAGGAACTACACAGTGCTATATAGTCACATAAACACAGAAACCTTTTTACTAAGTGCCAAATTCGTAATTATTACTCAACAAACCTTTTGTTAGGTTCAAGGGAATTCTACTTATTTATTGATTTTGGTTTCTTAGAAACTTGGTTGAGTTGAATCCTGAAGTATAAGCAGTTGTGTATTGGATTACTGCTGGTGTAAAAAGATGGAGAATTTACTGAGTTATGTAACACACTTTAATGGAGGTAGTTCTTGTTTTGTAGTTGAACCTGTTTGTGTTTGGCATTGTATGATGGAACACAGCGCGGTTGTTCCTTTCTAGCATTTTCTCTTACGCAAAAAAGAAAATTAGCTTTAAACATGGATGACCCCACAGGCACTGACCTGGCAAATACAGATGGGTAGTACAGTCTTGCTGATACTGTGATAATGTCTTCTGCTTTGGGCTCTGGGGTCACAAAGCAAAACAACAAAAAGAAAGGAGGTAGAAGCAGTTGCAGGATGACTTCATTAAAATGCTTTTCATAGATGAGCATTGTAAGTGACATTTCTAGTGCTGTAAGTGCCTGTACATAAAAAAGAATTTTTCTTACTGGAGATTGCTGACAAATAAGTTTTTCAAAATGAATCAACACATAAATGACTGAAATTTCCTACCCCAACACATGATGAATAATGTACTGTTTCATAACAGTCCCATGGGAGTCAGTAGGACCACTGGCACATTCAGGAACCAAATGGCAGAACCAGACCTAATGCATTTACTTCTACAGAATTTCACCAGTCTTGCTTGGTAGTCCCTTGTGCCTGCAATCTCTTAGCACTGCCTAATGAAGTAGTACTTTATAAGATTTTTAAATATACTCCTTTCATTTATTTTGTGAGCTTACTGAAAGACAATACTCAGCCAATGTTTTTGATTAAATCAAAACTCAAAACTGAACTTCCTGCCAATACTTTAACTACTGTATTGAGGAAGGAACCAGCCTGGTTGTACATTTCTGTTGGCAGAGGAATTTATTTTGAGATTTCTTGTGTTCATGGTGTTTAGTGCTTACTCTTTTTGTATGTTGACTTTTTATCAACACATTCTGGATCCAAAGGCAAATCTGTGTTCAGTTCTATGAGACCACTTCTTTCTCTTATCTTGAAAATACCGTTCCACCATTTTAATTTTTTTTTCCTGGCTGTATCCCAGATGCCTGTGTTCCTATACCAGTATGTCACCAGAAAACACTGTTTAACATCAATGATGGATTTGACTATCTAGTGTATCACATACTTCCATTGGTTTTGAGAAGGTGTGGGACTGGGAGCTGCTGGGAAGGTGAACACTAAGGAAAAAATTATTCCTTTTTAATCTTTATCTAAATCACTTATTTTTCATAAAAAAATTAGCATCACTATTGTGTTTTACATGCAGATGGATAGAAGAGGAAGTAACGAGAGGTGGATATAAAGTTGAAATAGAAAACATGACAGATGAGATGGGAGTACTCGGTGTAGCAGGTCCATATGCCCGACAGATCCTCCAGAAGTTGACAAGTGAGGATCTGAGTGATGGTTCATTTAAGTTCCTCCAGTCTAGACATTTGAAACTTTCTGATATTGCTGTAACTGCCATTAGGATATCATACACAGGTAAGCAATAGAGAAAACAGACTCTTAAGGAAAGAGGCAATAAATAAAATAATAAGTGTAACTAAAATTATGTTGAAAATTAAATCTCATCATAAGCATAAAATCATCATAAGCAATAGGTTCATCACATTTTATGTATAAATGTGTGAGGAAATGCAATGCCTTGATTTTCAAATGTGATCGAGTTAGGGTCTGTGCTGATTTTTCCAAGACCTTTTTCTCTAGAATACCCTATAGTGTAAATATTTATTTTACAGAACAGAAGGCCAGTTCTGATAACCTCTGTGGTATTTGCTGCAAAACCAACATCAAGAATTGTTTTTGGATTACCGTATATTAGTGTTTGTCAAGCGCCTTGAAAAAGTAGCACTGTAATGCTTTTTTATTTCTCAGTTACTTTTTTTTTTTTTTTTTTCATTTTTTTGTCTATCTATCTTTACTGCAATGGACTGAATTCAGACCATTGTGAAGCAGCTGAAGTCCTTCCCTTTCTGTTGTACTAAATATGATACTCATTTTATGCTTACTTACACTCAGTTACATTTGTTGTTCACTTGCCAAGTCATCATCTGTTTATAATGCCCTTAAGCTTCTCCTCTCATTGTGACTTCACTACATGACCTTTTCTTATCCATTATTCTGATCCCCCCTCCTCCCAGATTTCAGTTAACTGTTTAAATTAGAATAATAGTACCACTGCTTAAGAGCTAGGGCGTAAATCATCTGGTGGTTCTTTCAGGGAATTAGACTTGATATATGAGAGCAGAATTGACCCTAGAATGTGAATTAACACTTGCAGCATTGATCCCCACTTTTTACCAAGAATAGGGCTGTATTTATTAGGATTGTTTCATTGTTGAGCTGATGAAACCGTTGATCTTGTTTGTATAACAGGTGAATTGGGCTGGGAGCTCTATCATAGAAAAGAAGATTCTGTAGCTCTTTACAGTGCAATCATGGAAGCTGGCCAAAAAGAGGGAATTGACAACTTTGGAACGTATGCTCTGAATGCTTTAAGGCTGGAAAAGGGTTTCCGAGCCTGGGGGGCAGAGGTCAGGAAATATAATTTCTTTATTATTCTTTCTGTTTATTTTCTGTATTTCATTATGACCATACAGCTTTTAGTCAGAGCTAGCTCAGATAGTATTTGTTCCAGTTTCTCAATTTAGCATGAAAAGAAAATTTACCTTGAGCCGGAAAAGCTGTTATAATTCTGAACAGTGTCTTCTCTAAATAAAAATAACTAGTATAGTCCATTGCACTGCTGGCAAAGAAACACTTATTTTGATTCACTGATGTTTTTCCTTCCTGTGTATAACAAAATTATGAGGGTTTTGCTGAGCTCTAGTGTTTTGAAATCAAAGGTTTGGCTGATAGATTCTGAGAATGTTTTTTTTCTGTAGTAACTATGTCATGAGAGGCCAATTATTCTTGCTTCATAATGTATTTGGAACTTTTTCATTTCCCATTAGCTTGTTTCTGCTCACTCACAATATAGAACTACTCAGGAGGCCCAGAGAATTTGGGGAAAATCAAATTTTTCTGCTTTCCTGAAATTTTTCCTAATTCCTTTGGAAAGGAAAGAATTCAGGAAGGTGAAATGGTGGGCATTTAGGGATCCTTTTCATTTGCCCAGTAATAATTATTTTTATTCTTGCTTCAAATTCTGCCTAACAAATCATTCCCCCTACACCTAACAGGAAGGTGGTAAATAAAATTGGCTTTGTGTTTTATTTTCCTCTCCAGCTAAGGCATTCTGCTGTGTTGCAATTAATGTGCATAGCTCAGTTATTCAGTCTTCTGCAGGTTCCATTCTGTTTTGATGAAAAGCCTTGTTTCTTACTGAAATGTGTGTTTACTTTGCATATTGAAACTTAGATGAATGTTTTACATATCTATACTTTATATTAGGCGTAATAGTAGATATTCTGTTGAAATCTCATGTAGGAATCATGCAGTGTATTCAGATGGAAGTTGCACATGTGCAACGTGGAAGAAATTGACCCAGGAGTAAATAGAAGGCTACATGGAATAACTAAAGAAAATCCCCCACCCCCCAACCCAAAAGCTATGGTAGTCCATCATGTACGGATGGCAATTTTTTTTTTTAACAGATGAACTGCGACACTAATCCCTTGGAAGCTGGACTGGACTACTTTGTAAAGCTAAACAAGGTATGTCTTATTATTTTCAAAGTGTTCTATTATGCCTGAAGTTACTCCTTTAAGTGTTTGAAAAGAAAAATGTAATTATTTGTAAAATAAAATAGGTTTAGAAAATGAACTAAGCAACTTCTTTTCACTGTATATAAGCATAATTATTACGTACCAATTTGTTTTAAAAAGTTTCATATTTTTTCCGTGTTTCTTGCTAACAAAATTATACATTAGGTCAGGAAGTTGCCAATACTCAATATTGTCTACATGAAAAATAACTCTTTGTGATATATTTTCGTAGAGAAATTTGAGTCATGTGCTTTTGTAAACATATAGTATCTATATACAGGCTGAACAAGCCTGTTCATATTGTAAAAACATTTTACCTGCTTATTCCTGTTAAAGAGTTGTCTGTAGGATCATTTTCTCGGGCTACCACTCTGGTACAGCAATTACTGAAAAAAAAACGTAGATTTTTCAGAAGAACTGCTGACTGACAACTTGGATATGAGTCAAATATGAGTTAAATTAGTATCTTGGTTAAAAAAATAGTAACAATTAGTTGTTCATAGAATTTCTGAAGAGGTCCTCTGCTCATAACTTGTTCCTGCCTGATTTCAAGTTTAGAGAATGGAAGTAGTTGAATTTACATATGCAGTAAAAATTAAAAGATATTATTCTATCTCCTCTTATCAGCATCCCCATTTTCTTATATTCATATTTTAGCAAATCAAACTCTGTTATAGTCTAATAGATACAGAAATTGCTTGTAATTCTCTTTTCTGGTCCAAATGAAACCCAAACCAAGTGTCCTAACTCTGTCAAATAGAGGACCTTTCCATGAAACCCAGTGAAATGGTTTCCTGTGCAGCTCTCATGTCATCTGTTGCTACCAGTTAACTCATCAACTCAAACAGCAGTTGCCTGCACGGTGGCCGTGAGGTTTCTAATGTAAAAAATCAGGTCCTATACATTTCAAGTTAGGTGCCCTAAATGAAAGGATATTTCTGACTTCATCTTCTGCCTGGTTTTTCATCTGCAAAATAGAGAAAGTGCCCAACGTTTTTACATAAGGGAGATCAAGCAGAAAAAGTAACGTTTGTGAGACATTTAATCTTTACAATGATGCGATACAGGGACAAATTCTCTTCTTATTCATATTCCTTTTATACCTGAAAGGGTAATAAATTAGATAATAAATTAGATAATAAATGACCCTTGATATTTTTGCTATGTTATGTGAAGGCACTGTGGAACTGATAAAAGGAATCCCAAACTTTAAGTTACAGCTCCAAATAAACACCAAATCTTAAACTTTGGGTAGGCAAGAATTATGGAGGCATGTTAAACCTAAAAAGGTGCTTTCATCTTTATGAGACAATTTCACCAACAGTAACAGAGATGAACCCAGGAAGATGCTTTTCCTCTCCAACTGTTGAACCTGTCTATAGATGTTAAAAGTTCTTCAACCTGTGCAGGATTGATAAAATATTCATTTTTGTCCTAATCTAACACCAGTGTATGCTCTAGCATGAAATGCAAGTTCTAAGCGTGTTCTTGCCCAACTATGGAGCTCACCCACTGGAAGGCAGGGTGTTCCCCAGGGATGTAAACAGCAGTTCCTACATGTAGTGGAGTTACAGCTGTCTCCATTGGGACTGTAATTTTGCCCTAATCACACAAAATGATACATGCAAGGGAAATACAGAATCTTATGGAACAGGATTATGTTGTATTTACTCATTAAGGACTTTCCCGTCTTGAGGAAAGCATTAGCAGGATTATGGGAGAATGCAATGAAAAATGGTACTGTTACTGGTTTTTCTTTCCACTTCATTTGAGACATCTGTTTGTTTTCTTTTTTTTTTTAGTATAAGCAGGACCCCAGCCATAAGCAGGGAAAGCTGTTGCTTGCCAAGATGCCCACGCAGAACATGCAAAGGCACTAAACCAGAAGCAACAGATACTTAAGTCTGTTTGACATCTTGGTATGTAGGGTTACTGACAGAGATTGTTCCTTTAAGCATGCGCCCCCAACTGGGGAAAGTGCTGATTTCTGTGTAAATTAAAACCAAAATGCACTGTTCAGTTGATTACTACAGTGCTTCTTACCATGCAATGAGCAGCTGAAGTAGCTCACAAAATGGGCGAAAAGACTTCAGCATAAGTGAATTTCAAGTAGTATGTAATGGAAAATATAAACAGTTTCTAAACAGATTAAACTGAATGAACAACTAAATGCCAGTGAAGGTAATACAGTCAAAAAGTATTTTAATTTCCGTGAGAGGGCATTCAAATATCTGAGGAATAAATATCAAGAGATGTAAATTCCAAATAAAATCCTGATATTTCTCTGTGTTTACAAAGTTCAGTGTATGAATCATCTTCAGGTACATTTTGAATCACAGAACCATAGAATTGTTTAGTTTTTTTTTTTAAAGAACTTTAAGATCATCCAGTCCAACCGTTAACCTAGCACTGCCAAGTCCACCACTAA